GTAAGATCAAACAAAGCCACACGGAGTTAGTTTTTCTCTTTCTATTGCTCTTGTTTTTCTGTCTTTCTCTTATTTTGTCTTTGTCTGTACTTTTTATACTTTGCATTTTGCGAAACACACACACAAAAATAAAAATGGATGCGAATTTGCAAGTTTTTATTTTTCGCGCTCAGGCTGACGTAAATGACCGGAAGTGAAATTTCACCAAATTAGCAACGCGCGCGAGCGCGCGCATGAATCGGTTAATGGGCCCTTAAGTCAAATGAATCCTTACTCACCTCATTTTCCGTGCGCCTTCTTTTCTTCGGCGAAGTTGTTTCTGTTTCCATTTTACGCTTTCTTTTTAAGCGCAAGCTTTCCGACAAATTCGGATAATTAATCATACGCTTTTCACCACGTGATTCCGTGCTGTTTGACAAGTATTCATCAATCTCAGACATGGTCAATCTCCAGTGATTCAACAACAAACTAACTTGGTACTGCAAGCGAAGAGAGTCAAAGAATTCTCGCAGTGTTCACGGCAAGCTAACCTGTTCACAACTGATCATTTCTATGGCAAACTTGCAAACTAGAGCCATTTTGCCGTTTGTGACGTGTGTGTGACGTCCTGCTCGCGTTTGACGTGCGCACGCGCCAACGGACGTTACACCCATTCACTCAGGAGGAAAACTGTAATCATCTACTCTAACAGAATCGTCAGAAACAGCTCTGCTAGAGAAAAGGAAGGCAGTAGTTTTTAACAAGTTATGTACTTTAGAATCATATCACATTCCAAATTTGGTTTTGCCTAAAATGTCAGCCTGGTTAACATGTAAGCCTACGCGTCGCTGGAAATGTGTTCAGTTATTTTCTTACACCATGGATAGTAGAAGAGAATAGGGCAATTGTGCTAACCATGGTTAGAGATTCAAGTATGTTACATTACTTATACTTTCCTTTCCAAAAACATCTAATTCCTATATTACTACTTATTTCATTGAAAGATTGTGCTTTTTAAGGTGGTTTAGGACATAAAGTTAATAAAACTAGGAAAACGCAAAGCAAATTCAGTTTGCGCTGGTTTTTGTCAATTCAGTTTGCGCTGGTTTTGGTCAATTCAGTTTGCATTACCAAAAGTGGTGAAAGCTCTTTACAATGGTATATAAAAATAATTCTCTCCGTAGCTAAGATGTTTTTGTGAATTTCACAAAAGTATCCTGTCTAAAACTCAAATAGGAATTCTACTCTGTTTTCCAGGTAAGCGGCTTCATAATTTAGTTGGTAGAGTATCAGTAGTGAAAGACCAACGACACTGCCCCGGGGCGGAGGGGCGAGTGGCGTTATAATACGCTAAGGGCTGACGTCATCATAATCTGAAAATAGGAAAGTGGTCACTCATTTTTGGGTGAAAAAATTTATACTTAATTGAAAGGAATCTAAGAATAGATAGATTGATTTGTTAAAATTATTTTCAGTAACAAAAGTCATGAGGTTCTCTCGCATCAAAAATGACGTAATGTTTAGGTATGTACTATCTTTAGTGGTAAGACGTTTGCTCCGTTGAATACAAAACTTATGATTAATTAATTATCTATTTCACATATCAAACTAGAAATTTGTCAGCGGATGAGAAAGATTTTGAGAAACGTTTTAATTTCAAAGGAAGATGAACTGAAACTTGCATGCGAAGGATGTGAATACCTCTTACTTACCGAGTTCGAGGTCCGTACTGTAAGTTATGGACCGAGTTTTTCCCCCATCGATTTATGGCCTGCGCGTTTCGCGCTTGGGCCATAAATGGATGGGGAAAAACGAGGATCTGTAACTTACGGTACGGACCGAGAATACGAGGTTAGTAAGATATTTATTATATCTCTACTGTGTGTCTGACGGGTTCAGGAACGATTCCTATTCACGGGGATTAGCTTCAAATCTCTGGAGCTTTTACTTACTATAAAAGTTAAGATCACTTGGTCATAAATCACGAAACATTTTGGCAACAAAAACAGCTTGAAATTTTAGTGGACCGTACAATAGAGTTCGGTCCGCTAAATTGACCAATCACAGTGCGCGTAGTAACTGAGTGATATTAATAATAAAATGGATTATCTCACCCCTGATCATTATGATTGCATGATGATGATGATGATGATGATGATGATGATGATGATCAAGCAATGGAGAAAAGCATCAACAATTTTCTTTGTTTGTTTGTTTGTTTTTTTCTTTTAAGATTCTCTACTAGGGCAAATCTATGTGAGAATTAGAACATTTGGGTGCCGGGCTGACGCGAAAATTTATATTTGGAGTCTCACATCTCTGAAATTTTTGTCATTATCAATTTCCAAAATCCGTGCTATGGATCTGTTTGCGTAATGATGGAGCGGGCAAAAAGAATTTACATTTAAACAACCGAAATAAACCGGTGATTTTCCTCTTTTGTCTGGCATTGTTTTCTAAAAGAAATAATAAACATTTTCTCTGTGTTTCTTCCTAGTAAAAGAGAACACAGTTGAGAAAGCTGTAGAAACGCTCACTTGGGGCTTGTGTTGCCACAGTATTTCTTGTTCTCGTCAGAAACTGAAATATGAAAAAGAACAGATTCCAGTTGATTTCGGCTTGCATGTTCGAAAAACAATAGCAAATTAAAAACCATTTTAAAAACTTACCTTTTATTCTGCTTAATTTCAGCATTCAGTTTTCTTCCAAAGCGAAAGAATGAACATGGAATATTTCAATAGCCCTTTACATGCAATACAATAAAATTCAGCCTGGCTGCGGGACAACTTCGGGAAATTGCCGCGCAATAACACTGGATTGTATTTCATTTGTGATGCAAACGGGAAAAGATAACCGCGAAAAGAGCCAATCTTAACGACTCGGCGTTCTGATATTTAATAAATATTGGACAAGATTGAACAAAATAGCGAGAGGAAATCGATTTTTTTTTCGTTCCATTTAAGTCTCTTCACAGCTGTGTTTTTCTTTCTCTAAGCAAGCAAAAAGCAAGCGAGCAATTTGAGCGTGTCGTGGTCGTTAATTTAGTCTCTACGGCTTTTATTTTACTCGCGCACTTTCCTATGTTAGTGAAAATAGTAGACTTTCCAACAACTCGAGATGCAAAAGCCGAGCTTGGAAAGAGAAAATCGTATGTGACGATCAAACTTTGAGACTCGAGTCTCTCCGGGGAGAAAGACAGGCGGGGGACCGATCTAGTTGGTGTCATACACTTGGAAGAATCCCTTACTTCTCAAAGGTTCATTGTAATGGCTTGTAATTGATGCACACAAGAACGAGCCAGACGAACGACATGTTTACTACAAGAAAGGCAAAACAATTCCGAACAATTTTTTCCACATTGTAAACAATAGGGCCATTTATACGAGAAAAACAAGCCGGGATTACTCAAGCCGCGCCTTACATAAGACGCGAACTGAACCATTTATACGAGCGCGGCTTATATAAGACGCGAAGTGCTCGTATAAATTGTTCACGGCTTATTCGTGACTAATGCCTCGCTTTTGTGTTGGTTGTCATAGCAATCGCGTAATTGCGCGAGCGCTCGAGCGAGCGCGGGAAAAACTTTCGCTTGCGCAGTGTGAGTTCGCGTCTTAAGTAAGCCGCAAACAAGCCGCGATACCATTTATACGAGTGGCTTCGCGTCTTACATAAGCCGCGGATTATTTAAGCCGAACTCAAAACCGCCGTCTTACACAAACCGCGGCTTGTGTAAGAAGTGAACTGGCTAAAATGTACCGTTTATACGGCAAGTTCGCGTCTTATTTAATCCGCGGTTTACACAAGCCGCGGATTTTTTTTTTTTCGTATAAATGGCCCTAATGTCCCAGCTTTTCAACTTCGGCAGCTAAAACCACACTCTCCCGACCAGGGGCCTGTTTCTCGACAGCCCCGGAAACTTTTCGGAGCCCTAAAGCTATTCTTAGTTCACCTGTATCTAAAAACGGAGAAGTGTATACGCCTGAAACTTCATGTATGAAGAGAACCTCTATTCATATTAAGAGTATGTGAATAAAACAGCTCTGTATACATAAGGTTCGAGATTTGGCCACGGCTTTCCGGGTGCGAAAACTTTTCGGGACCTTCGAGAAACGGGCCTCAGGAGCTATACAAGCGAGCTTTTGGTTTCTTAACGTGTTTTACACAGAACCCATCGGCACTCCTTTCCCTCGGGTAAGTTCCATAACTTTTTTGCTCTCGCCGTATTTCTCCCCACAAGGAACATTTCAGTTGACAAAGAGTCAGTGTTTTCGATTCCGGCTTATTTTTCTCCCTGCAATTTCGACTTCCCCTCCTCAACGTGCTCGTGGTGGTTCTACCAAGATATCGGTATTCTCCTTTGACCAAAAGTAACAAAAACCGATTTCTGCAAGTTTTACCATTACAGGATCTCTAAAAATCATTGCCCTGCAGTGACGAACACCCAACTAAACTACATCTCTAAGAATACGCCAGAGATCGTTTTGTAGTTCTTGATTTTAGAACGAGTCTCTTGTACGTCTTGTACCTGAAATGCTTTCAAGTCTGTTCGACGCCGGTTTGCCGAAAAACCGTCAAGCCAAGTCCCACGCTCACAAGAGAGAGAGTCTCACCCTGCCCATGAGCGTAGCGTTGCGTGACAGAGAGATGGCTAGAACTGGACTAACAGTCGTCGAGTTCGTCATACAATCCAAATGTATCTTCTTCCGCTTCTTTTCTTTTTCTGATAAAAAACACTTCGTTGAACCTAGTTTGAAATAAGTCGAGAGTAGGAAATGTGCAGAAACTCGGCCGGTACACACTAATTAGCGCCTTCAAGTATCATATTTGAACTAAAGAACAAAGACTAAGTTTTGTAGGGAGGCAGCGTGGCCGAGTGGTTTAGGGCGCTGGATTTGAAATCTGGTTCAAATCCTTCACCCTACTGCTATCTGGATTTGTTCTCGGTAGTCCCGAGTTCAACTCCTCGACTGCGTTGTGCAAATAGCCAACTGGTCAGCCTCCCACCAGTTGGGATTCTTAATAGTTTATTTTCTATTTGCAATATTTGGTTACTTATTTACAGTGTCCCCAATTAGCACAATAGTGCTAAATACATTCGACACTTAAATAAAGTTATTATTTTTATCATTATTATTATTATCTGGGGTTGAGAACAAATGACCGGAAATCAGAAGAAAACGGTGTTTAATGTTTTCCTATTCATGCAGTGTACACTTTAATCAAATATAATACCAGAATAGAGCAGTCGAATGAAAATAAAACAATACATCTCTAAATTACTGTATAAATCGGAACGTAACGTAATGTGAAAAATATAATAAAGGAAAGCAGCAGGGAAAAGTTCACACGGCTGCTTCAAAATAAATTTAATGTTTTGGACTACAATACACTGTTTGGTTTGACTTGTACACGTATTGACAAACATGATTCGAGTTATTGAGGGTAAAATTATATAGAAAATGATCTCAAGGGAAACGAAAATTGCTTCGAGTTAGCGGGAGGTTCGAGTTATCGAGGGTTCGAGTTAGCGAGGGTAAAATTACAATAAATGTATGACGGAAATCCCGGGGAAATCGATTTTGGTTCGAGTTATTCTCCCCCCGTGTGATTTCCAAAATGTTGACTACAGTAGTGTACATAAAAAATATAAACGGTATCGCTAAAATCTGTGATTTTTTCACTATGATATTAACTTCATCTGAGCGCAAATAACACTTGATGAGAGGGAACAGCTTCAAACTATAATAAAAGAGATGTCTGGTTAAAAATCAAAATTTTTCTTGCTGTTATGGCAATTGACACAGTTAAACATCGTCAATAGCACAATTGTTGAACCTTTTTCACGAGTGATTACACCTGGTTTACTTGTACACTTCTGGTTTTGAGAGCTTTAACACTTATGGTAAGCTAACGCTAAAACACTAACTTCTTCGTTTCTGTAATTTTCCAAGTGACTTCTGTTATTATTAGATGAGACTCCACAAGAGTTATTTGTTGGATATTCTGGACTGATGTTCCTGTTGTTCCCGATAACTTGAAAAACAACGCATCTTAATAGAGAGCTGCCTAATACAGAAAAGACTAAGTTTAGCAAGAAAAGTTTATAAAGGAAAACAGGAACGACAAAAAAAGCGTCAAAAATAGCAATATACACAGCAAACTGTCACTCACCTTAGCACTCTGCTACCAACGATGCAAGGGAGAGAGCGCAAGATTAGACTGCGGATCTTAATTCTGCCATTCGCGCATAACCACAATTCCTTACACCTTTGGTCTTACCGCTACCATGATTCCTTGCGTTTCGCAAAAACGTGTTCAAGGCCCCTTATTTTGTGACCTTTTCCCGATTAGAGAGCTGCCTCGTCCGTTCGCTTCAGGCTCACTCACTGCGGCAGCAATTAGCCCAACATTGCTTTCCAGAGACTTCGCGCATTTCTTCATGTTTAAAATCATTGGGAACTTTCCAACCTTAAACGCTTACAAAAGATAAACGCTTACAAAAGACGACATGAATAATCTACAAGACATCGCAGGAATCATCTCTATTGGCTTATGTGTTGCTTTATTCCTTCTCAAAACCAATCGTGCTTTGAAAACCATCGAGTTATGCAAGGAGATGTTGGTTTTGTTAAACAACAAAGCACTGAGTATAGAAGAGCAAATTGAGGAAGAAAGTTACGAAGCAATCTATCTAGCAATGTTCATGGCGTACCACCAAATTAACGATATAACAAATGCAATAACATAGGCAGGAAAATGCTCGCCATTTATCGCAATTGTGGTGCTTCAGACGGGGAGGGAATGCTTACCGAGGGACTGGCATGGACATATTACAGTCAAGAAATGTATGACGAGGCAAAAGAACTTTGTGAGAAAGCAATCTCGGTCATGAGGGAAACTGGTGACAGAAAAGGGGAAGCACGTTGTAAAAAATCTAGGAACGGTGTTTCAATCTCTCAAGGAATATGCTAAAGCTAAAGAATATCTGGAGAAGGATCTTGTGATGAAAGTGGAAATTGGTGACAGAGCAGGAGAAGCAACATGTTACGGAAAGCTAGGAACTGTGTTTCGATCTCTCGGTGAATATGTAAAAGCTAAAGAATATTTAGAGAAAGCACTTGTCATCAAAGTGGAAACTAGTGATAGAGCGGAAGAAGCAACATGTGACAGAAAGCTAGGAACTGTGTTTCAATCTCTCGGTGAATATGCCAAAGCTAAAGAATATCTGGAGAAAGAACTTACGATAAAAATGGAAATTGGTGACAGAGCAGGAGAAGGAACATGTTATGGAAAACTCGGAACTGTGTTTCTATCTCTTGGTGAATATGTAAAAGCTAGAGAATATCTGGAGAAATCACTTGTGATCAACATGGAAAGCGGCGACAGAGACGGAGAAGCACCATGTTATGGAAACCTAGGAATTGTGTTTAAAGCGCTTGGCGAATATGTCAAAGCAAAAGAATATCAGGAAAAATCACTCGCGATCAGCACGGAGATTGGTGACAAAGAAGGAGAAGCAAACAGTTATGGAAATCTAGGAACTATGTTTAAATCTCTCGGTCAATATGTCAAGGCTAAAGAATTTTTTAAGAAAGCACTTGCGATCCATATGGAAACCGGTAGAAGAGGAGGAGAGGTAGCATGTTATGCAAATTAAGGGGAAGAATTTTATTCACTCGGTGAATATGACAATGCTCAAGAGAATTTAAACAAAGCACTCACGATCATAGTGAATGAGACTGTTGACAGAGTTATGGAGGTAGCAGTTTACGCAAACCTGGCAGAAGTGTCTCGATCTCTTGGAGAATATAGAAAGTGTAAAGAATATCTTGATAAAGCACCAGCAACCAGCATTGAAACTGGCAACAGAGCAGGCGAAGCATCATGCCATGGAAATCTAGGCGTTTTGTTTCATTCTCTTGGCGATAAAGTGAAAGCCAAAGAACATTATGAAGAGTCTCTAGCGATCTCATCTGAAATTTTTCAAAGAAAATTTGAAGCAGCAAACTACCATCGTCTGCGTGGGACACGTGTTTCCAGGCCTCGGTAAATATGTCATGGCTGAAAAGTACTTTGAGATTGTACTTTCAATGAGTGAAAATGAAGTTAGAGACGCTGACCTTGAGTTTCACTGTTGTTGTGGTCTGACACTGGTGAAGGTTTCCCAAAATAAATTTCAGGAAGCTTTTCCTTCCTGTTTCATGTATTGAGAAGTGTGAGAATCTGCGAGGCTTTAATGCAAACAGCGATCCGATTAAAATATCCATTGGAGACACGCACGCGTTTGCTTATAGGGTCCTCAGTAGATTGTTCATTACCGCTGAAAGTCCCAAAAGTGCTCTTTATACTGCAGAACTGGGACGGGCTAGGGCCCTAGCAGACTTGATGGCAACTCAGTATTCTACTGAAATGCATAGTCAGCTGACCCGCAATCATGGATTGACATTGATAATGTCACGAAGAAGGAAAACCTCTGCACGTGTCTATGCATTTCTTATGACGCTGAAAAATTGTTTCTGTGGATTCTCAGGTCAAGCGGAGCCATTTACTTCCTAAATATTGAAGTGGATAAAAAGACTCTTCACACTAGATTAGCAAAAGTTGGTAGAAATTTGGATGAATTTTTTGCTATCATGGCTGAAAGCTTCCGCAGCTTTGGTATTTTACCTGACGAGGTTTGCGAAGATCGATCTTTAAATGAAATTGAGCCGAAACTCGAATCTTGTCAGGAAGAGAGTCTTGAACGTTTTAGTCAAGGAAGTGATGTGGATGATCCCGAAACGAGTCTGCGGTTGTTCTACGAAATACTTATCAGTCCAGTATCCGACTTACTTGACGAGCGTGAAGTCATCATTGTTCCTGATCGCGGCTTGCACCGTGTTCCATTTCCAACTTTACTTAATGACAGTGGAAAGTACTTATCAGAGACTTTCAGAATCCGGGTTGCTCCTTCTTTGACAACTCTGAAGCTCATACAGGACCGTCCTGCAGACTATCACAGTCAGACTGGTGCTCTGGTAGTGGGTGATCCTGACATTGGCGTGGTGATTTACAGGGAATGTGTCAATAAAAAGTTCGTAGCACTGCCTGGTGCAAGAAAGGAAGCAGAGATGATTGGAAGAATGCTGGGCGTCGAGCCTTTGATAGGACAGCATGAAACGAAGCAAGCGGTACTTGAGAGGATAAATTCAGTGAGTCAGACACATATTGCCGCACATGGTAATGCCGTGAAAGAGGAGAAATTGCTCTTGCTCCTGCAGGCATTACTACCAGAATTCCACAAGAAGACGACTATCTTTTGAAAATGTCTGACATTTCAGAAGTTCAAGTGCGAGCTAAACTGGTGGTTCTAAGCTGTTGTCACAGAGGGAGTTGTTGGAATCGCTCGTGCGTGTTTAGGATCCGGTGCACGCTCAGTGTTGGTGGCACTGTTGGCTCTGGAGTACAGTGAAACAGAGCAGTTGATGAGTCGCTTTTACGAGCACCTTGTTCGCGGGATAAGTGTCAGTAAGTGTCTTCATGAGGCCATGAAGTGGATGAGAGAGACCTCCTTCATCAAGGTTCACGAGTGGGCACCGTTTATGCTAATTGGGGATAACGTGTCATTTGCTTTTGGAAAAAAGTAAGTAATCGCATAGTAAAAGCAATTCACGCTTCTAACTACGTGGGTTACTTGTGTGAATTAAATCAAACTGGACACTATCTTGTATTTCCGTGCAAACAACAAAGTCAGAATGAAATCTTACGGTGCCGTGGCATTAATAAACAAAAGCTTCAGATCAATTATGATATTTTGAATTCCTGTTGTTTGGACAATTGGTTTTTGGATCAAAACACTTGTACTTTTTGTGTTATGATTTGACACTTAATTATTCGTGTGATCTACACCCACATTCTTCACATTTTGTAACTTGTGCCTACCACTTAGATATTAAAGTCATTTCTTTTAAGAGATTATTTCTATTGAAAAGCACAGTTAACAAACAAAATTAGGCTTCCAGTTAAGCAGGGTTTTCCAGTTATGTACGTTTTGGACCTTTTGCCATTTATTCAGTAAAGTTTGTTTTGATGAATCTAGGTGAAATATGAACAAGTAAGTGAGCCGACTACAGTAGAAGCTGGTTGAGATGACGGATTAGAACTTGAAATTCAGTTTGCTTTAATTATTAAGTACAGGAATGTCCTAACGAGAAACCTGTTACATACCGTCTATAGGTCAATTTATATCAACTTTCTTTCTTTGTCTTTTTGGTGCGCAGATATAATACCCCATCAATGGAGGACTCTATGCAGACCAACATCAAGCCAATGAGCTAAGAAACGTCTGCAAGGACAGTGTTCATTCCTCCCAAGCGGCAAAGAAACGTTTTTCTGTTGTTCTTTCAAATAAGTTTTATTAATAAGAATAATAATTAATGATTTTCTCACCTCAGGATTCCCAACTGCATTGTGAGCGCCTTGTTATCCGATATTAGAAAACAACTGAAACATAAGACTTTTTATCGGATTGTGACGAACGTATTTAGGACCATTTAGGAGCTAGAAATATGGAAAAAACGAAATGCAGTAAAAACGCCTTTCCTCGCTTCCTATGTGTATTTTATGGTTTAGGCCAAACAGAGGTAAACAGAAATGCTAAACGTGCTGAAGTCGCTTTACAGCCCAACTGGTCTGAGTATCAGGCCCATCTCCCCCTCTCCCCTTACTTTCGAAAAACCTGATGTTCAGGCTATGGCTTAATTAAAGAAAAGCCAAATAAAAGGTACAAAAGCAAGCCCCTTTCACTGTATTTCTTTTTCTTCCTATTTCTAGCTGCTGA